CTGTGGAGTCCTTGGTGTTCTCTGAGCTTGGCTGTTTTCTTGCAGACGTTTCATTACCCAGGTACATCTGCAAGAAAACAACCAAGTTCAGAGAACACCAAGGACTCCACAGGTCTGTTCTGGGTCTACTTTCCCCCCTTTTTAAAAATATTGGAACAGTGTTGGCTCTTCTTCAGCCTTCTGGCATTCCCCCTAGGCTCCAGGATTTCTCAAAGGTTTCAGTCAGTGGCTCTGAGATAACATCTACCAATTCCTTTAATGCCCTGGGATATAATCTGGTCCAGGATACTTGAACTAGGTATTCTCTCACCAATTTCTTGCCTATTTTGATCTACATTTCTCTTCTGCTTCCCACGATGCAGCTTCTGACAAGTTGGACTGCCTTTTCCTTTTGGAAAAGACAGATGCAAGGTAGGAATTAAGCAGTTCAGCCTTCTCCCTACTGCCTGTTACCATCTTGCCATCTTCTCCAGTCAGTGGGCCAACTCAGCCTTCTCTGTTGCTCACCTGATTATGGAATATTATCCCTCCCTCCTTCCCCTGTTTTGCCCTGGTACTGATGGCAGCGACAGGCACAAGATAACCTGAGAGACAGAAAGGGGGGGGTGCAATGGGGAAAAGGGATAAGTGTAACTTTTGGTGTGCGTCGGCTTCAGTCTCAGCAATGCTCTCGACCTGTATACCAATCCTTAATAAACAAACTTTCCTTTGAATCCACAATGGTGTCAAGGGGAGTTGCTTGCATTGGGAGCTATGCAAGGGAGGTCATTACATACGCTCAGTTATTTTGCATTCTTCCTGAGAGGGTTCTGAGGATCCCTACCTTGTGGTGGGCTTGAGGAGGTAGAGGTCCAGAAGTAATTCTTCTTAGTGGCCCCACCTACCCTGTAGAACACCCTTTCCCCTGCTAACCTTTTGCTAGAAAATAAAAACACTTCTATTCTGCTGGACTTTTTGCTCTAATAGTGATGATGGGCAACCTGGATTGGATGACTGTTTTGTTTTGTTTTATTTTGTTTGTTTTTGCTGGGTGGTCTGTGGGGCTCTGTTATTGATTTATTGATTTGATAGTAGTTGTAAAAAGTCCAGACCCTTTGGAGTGGGTGTATGTATGTAGATGTTTGCATAAATAAAAGACTGTGTGTGTGTGCATGTGTGTTCAATTTATATGGCTGCCCACTATAAATTCCAGATTAGAGATGGTAGAATATCTCAGTTGGAAGATTGTGAAAAAGTAGTAGATATATTTATTATGGAGATACAAAAGGCTGCCAACATCTCTGGAATTTTACTCCCTCCAACTCTATTTACATATCAATTTTAATTTAGGAGATATTGGCTTTGCTGGAAATTATCAACTCATCCTTGAAAGAACTTGAAATAACTCATTCCAGCTTATCATTTTAGCCTCCGCTATTCATTGTGAGGCACCTTAAATTGGCTGTGAGGAATGAAATTCTATCAGAATCTGATTTGTTTAATTGAATAAGGAGACAAACTCTTATGCTTTTCCTGATTTTACTAAGAATGGTCAGTGCAGAAAGATGTTTAGTAACATGAGAAATACTGCTTGAGAGAACATTCTTCAATATTTCAGCAGGTTTTTATTTTGGTTTTGAAACTATCAGATGGTGATCAGAAATAATTTCATCATGTGGTTGCTAAAAAAAATCTCACTTCATTTCCTATTGAGGGAAGATCATTTTTTTCTTATGTTTTTCTTATGATTATTGGTATATAAGATATTAGACTTCCTCATATCTGTCTCTTAATTACAAGCTTGCTAGTTATATCTGTATGTTCTTGATTGCAGGGAAAGATGACAAATTGCTGTTTCTTCTATGGCTGTGCTGTGTCTTTCTCTTTTTTTCCCTGCTCCTCTCTCCTTACCTGCTTTTCTTTCTAAATTAAATGGACCTTTATTAAATATTATTTTAATAAACATGCTCCCCTTTTTCCTATTGCTTGATTTGTATAATACAATAATTAGAATAAGGTAAACATGAGCTAGCATTGTATCAGAATTTGAAGTCCTTGTTCAAACAGGAAGAATTGATGTCAGCCTTGTAAGTTAGTCCAGACAGGAAGCACACTCAGATGAACTAATTCTACTTTTTTGTAATGTTACAATAACATAATCTTGAAAGTCTGAAAGTACATTTCTCCTCTGTTGCCTTTATAGCCCAAGAAACTAGGGAGGGTCCCTTCTGAGACATTTGCCACACTCACGTTCCTTTTGCAGGCTAAGCTGCTCTTTTCCGACTAAACAGCTTACAGTGCTCTCTTGAAATCTCTTCTCCAATCTTTCCATTCTGTGGGGTGGAGGGAGAAAGTGATTTCTGTAGGCATTCTCTCCTTTGCCTGATCCTTCCCATCCCTGCTGCAGAGCACAGAGATTGGAAAGACAGGGATTTCAAGAGAGTAAACTGTTCACTCTTCCACACATCAAAAGCAGTGTGATCACACTGGCAGCCCAGGGCTGGGAGCCGCACTATGTACACAGCTTATAGTACTCCCTTGAAATGTCTTCCTACAGTACTCTCCTGAAATGTCTTCCATTGAATGAGTTGAGTCTGGGGGTGGTAATGCATGTGATATTTGACAGGGGTATAGGTGGAGGAAGAAAATGAGTGTGGTTTTAAAATTGGCAGAAGAAACATCAACTTGTGCTATGCTGATGACACTACCCTGATAGCTGAAAATGCAGAGGATCTGTAAGCCCTAGTACTAAAAGTCAAGGAGTGTAAGGAAGGCTTGAGCGAGGAAGATACTGGAATGGAGGATCAAGGTTATCAGGAGGGAGGGGGAACATTCCAGAGAAAGTGCTTTCTCAGTCCGCAGCAAGACCATGGGAAGAGTAAGAGGCTAGCCCCTCCCTAGAGTCTCACGGGGTATATCCACTAGTTGCTTTAGCATAGGTTTAGTCTGGTGAGTTTCTGTCTATTAGTTGCAAGCTAATAAAGGAACTGGACTGGATCGCCTCTTTGTTGTTCTTGGGCTGAACCTGACAAGGAGCACAGTGAAAAAACGGGACTAAAATTAAATATAAAGAAAACCAAACTAATGGCAACAAGTAGAACAACCAGCCTTAGAACTGACAATGAAGACATTGAAGTGGTAGATGACTTCTGCCTTTGAGGGTCATCTGTCAACCATAAAGGAACAAGCAGTCAAGAAATACGCCACAGACTAGCACTTGGTAGAGCAGCCATGAAGGCCTTAGAAAAGATATTCAAATACTGTGATGTGACTATACCCAAAGGCAGAAGTCATCTGCCGCTTCAATGTTTTCATTGTCATTTCTAAGGCTGGTTGTTCTACTTGTTGCCATTAGTTTGGTTTTCTTTATATTTATGGGAAGAGTATTGACGCTTTTGAACTTGGTTTTGGAGAAGACTCATGAAAATACCGTGGACAGCCAAGAAAACAAAGTGATGGATCACTGAACAAATCAACCCAGAGTTCTCACTTGAGGCACAAATGACCAGGCTCAAATTATCTTACTTCAGACACTTTGTGTGAAGACCTAGCTCTCTGGAGAAGGTCCTAATGCTGGGAAGGGTGGAAGGAAAGAGAAGAAGAGGACAACCAGCAGCAAGATGGATAGACTTGATAAAAGTTGTGATGGGTGTTCTGTTGGAAGAGCTGAAGGACCAGGTTAGGGACAGATCATCATGGAGAAAATCTATCTATGTGGTCGCCAAAAGTTGACAATGACTTGATGACATATAATCATAATCATAATTGGTGAAGGTTATTGCAGCTCTGGGCTATAAGCCACAACGTGATTTTTTTTTTTTTACCTCTTATCTGTAAACAGATAGCCAGTTTGGTGCAGTGGTTAAAAGCACCAGGCTAGAAACTGAGAATCTGAATTCTAGTCCTGCCTTGGGCTCAAAGCCACTTGGGTGACTTTGGGCCAGCCACTTCTCTCACTCCGAAGAAAAAGGAACTGGCAAGCCACTTCTCAAAAATCTTGCCAAGAAAACTGCCAGGACTAGTCTAGGCAGTTGTTAGGCACGCAAACCAACCAACCCATCAACAATGTTGTCATGATTCTGTTGAGAATAGATGATATATGAATGTCTCTGCATTGGATTCATAATTATATAAACCAATCGAGCATTTGAATTGAGATTTAAGGTGACTGGAGAATTTCCTTGTTTTATTATTGGTCAACATTGACATAAATTTAGGTGTATTTAGTGCAAAAGCTAAATTTGAGGGAGCATTTCTCCCTGAGGACATCTGTCTGTCTCACTAGATTGGATAAGGTGGGCTCACTGCAGACCCCCTCTCTTAAATATTTTATCTGGGAGGAACTAGAAAGTGAACTTTTTCCATAGCTGTGCCTGCTTTAAGGAACAGCCTGCCCCCCCCCTCAAGATATAGGCCCCTTCCCTTCTTGCTTGTTAAGCCCTGGTTCTTTCTTCAGGCATTGGGTCAGGATGGGAGGTAAACCCAGCATGGTTTGTGTTTTTTGAGTGGATACTGTTATGGTATTAATAGTGGGTTAGAGTAAAATTTTTGTTTTTATTATTTTCTATGTTTGTTAGTTATGGTGGCCATATAAATTTTTCAAATAAAGCTAACATTTGTTAGCAAATTGGGAGAATTTTACACTTATATCTGAGTTCTGCATTGAAGTTTTTATCCTTTCTGGTAAGCTTAGGAACACTAATCTTTTAATTTAAAAGATTTAAAAAATAGAAACTTGCTGGATTTGTTTAATAGTTCAGTCTTTGAATGAAGCATCTCCTCTTGGTTGCCTTTGTCACAGTCTGCAGTTGGCAGATCCTCTTGAAAACTAAAGTAATTGAATCATAACCTAATTAGTTGCCTTGAGGATGTCAAACTAATAAACGTGACCTCCCCAAGGAGACCACAGTGAACTAAATAACATTATTTGCTTTATTGTTAAAACGTAAAAAGCTGCTTTGGGATCTGATTGCTGGAAAAGTGGGATGTTTACCAAATAAAATGTATTTCTTTTTAATTAGGATGAAGCAGGTGCCTATTTAATAGACAGAGATCCAACCTATTTTGGACCAGTGCTGAACTATCTCCGACATGGGAAACTGGTTATCAATAAAGACCTTGCAGAGGAAGGTATGTTTTGCATTTCAGAAAAACTCTTCTGACATTAATTTGCTCCAAAAGTTAGTGTTCAAATTGCTTCAGTTGGAAAACAGTTGCACGATCATTTGCATAAGCTGGTTGGTCTTAGCACCTCAACTTGTGGTGGCCTCATCTTTGAATTTCCTGGGCTTGGGATTTTGAATAATACTTTAGAAAAAGGTCCTGGCATTTAACTCTTGTAACAGTTGTTCCAAACAATCGAAATAGGAGTAAAAAAGGAGTAAATTTATACAAGGAGATCCAAATCTTACTTAGAATGCTAGCTAGCCAGGCCTCCAAATAATCTCTCTATTGCTCCCACACCTTTCAAAGTTGCCTCCTTTCAGGTGGAACATTTCCAGTTATAATGTATTTGAAGACATGGAAAGGAACATGGTGTTCCAGAGATTATTGCCTTTTCATCTGTTTTGGCTCTGGCAACCTTGTGTTCCAGGACCACTCTTGGGAAATGGAGTGAGAGGTGGCAGTATTCTGTGGCCTGGTCTCATGCTGCCTCTTAGGGATGGCTGATGACAAACTTTTGTTTTCCATGAGAATGAAGTTTTGCCTTTCTTTTGTAACTTGGTTTCCTTTTAAAGGTGTTCTTGAAGAAGCTGAATTCTATAACATCACATCCTTAATCAAACTGGTGAAGGACAAAATAAGGGAAAGAGACAGTAAAATCTCACAGGTGGGACCCTCTTTATTTTCAGAGTAAGTGGCATTTGGTTTGTGGCTATTTCAAGATATAAGATTTCCAGTGTGGAAAGGGAATGTAACCCTTTCCAGCTCTAGCAGCATTTCTCCTTTCTTGCTTATGTCCCTTGGACAGTCTGTGCAGCCAGTACCAAGAGGGGAGCAGTAGCCATGACCTGGCAGGGGGAGGGAGTCAGGAGAGCTCATTTTGAAGGCATTCTGATGGGCTGTCATTTTCCTGCATTTGTTCCACCTGCCTTGTTCTCTGTCACAGGTGCCAGTCAAGCATGTTTACAGAGTGCTACAGTGCCAGGAAGAGGAGTTGACTCAGATGGTCTCAACCATGTCTGATGGCTGGAAATTTGAACAGGTAACTTAATGAGATGTGGCTTCATTGCAGATGCTGCAGGAGACACAGTTGAGAGAGGGAGAGGTTTTATTGCATTGGTATAAGGTACTACAATATTATAACATTACATTATTATCAATACCAAATATATATTAATAGTATTAGTATCCCATCGAAGTAATGGGATATTCTCTGGGGGAGATGGTGGCATATAAATTTAATAAATATCTATGGTATTAAGTAATATCAATTAATAAGTATCTGATATTAATATGGCAGTTTGTTTAGTCTGCTTCAGTGGGAAAGACTTGAAATCTGCTCTTTCAGTCATCCTTACTCCTGCCTTTGAAGGAAAGCCAATATTTTTATTCCTATATTGAGAATGAGGTAGGGACAGAAGTCAGGTAGTGGTGCCTTAACTAGACCAGCTGGTGAACTTTTGTCTGAGACAATCCATGAAGTCGTTGTCCTCTGCTTTTCTCTCACCTGATTAATCTCTAGTTCATTTTCGGAATGTAGGCCACCTTCTGCTCACGCCACATCTTGTTTTTGTACACAGTTGAGAGCTCTTGGGCCAGTTGCAGAGGAATCCTCAGGGAATGTTAGACCTGCCTCAGCTTGTGGCAGTGAAAACAGCTGCTCAATTGACAAATTTCTTATAACTTCCCTTTCAAACTGCAGCCGTTGTTTACAATGCTTATCACTTAAATGTTCATTTGGTGCTACTACTCTAATGGTTGGTAGTTCCTGCTGTTACTACTAGAGTAACAAGCATATCTCTAAATCTAGGATATATATTTGGATGGAAAGCCAGAGCTTTCTGGGGGAGAGTTAAGTCATAAGCATGTGGTCCCTGGAAGGTGGACAATGAGGATGTGGATGACATACAAACTGTTGAAGTTGACCTGTATAGTCTGGTGGTATTTTTTAAGTTTTTTTCTAAAAAATTTATACATATGCAATTAACAAAATCTTTAAACTTAAAAAAAAAACTTTTAAAGATTAGACAAGAGACTCCAAACAAGCTAAAAATACAAACTAAGAAAGAAAAGAGAGGAAAAAATCTACCTTATATTTTATACCTATCAATAGTCACTGGTTTACTAATGAATACATTCCTGTAATATGATCAGTACAAAATATTATTATCACAAAATCTGTGATATAGTAACACATATTGCTACATCCTTTCATTAGCAGAAAATGTTGCCTGTTCCAAAAGAGTTAGAGTATACATTTCCAACTACTGTTCCTTGACACCTGGAATATCACATTTCCAGTTTCTCAGCATGATTCTTTAGCCACCCTCATGCTCGATACAACAATAATTCCTGATAAATAGATTCCAAAGCTTTCATATATAGTTCACCATCCCGTTACATTATAGTTCAGTATTACTATTAAGCAGCTAGAGATCCACAAGTAGATCATGAATGTCAAGTTGGGGATATCATTCTGTGTTGTATAGCAAATTCTATAGTTTAATTCTGTGCTGTGTGAAATAATTCAGAAGTGTTCAGAATTTTGCACCATTTGTTGGATGACATGTTGGTTGAATTTCTCATGGAAGAGGAGAAAAGTTCTTTTTTTTTTTCACAGGAAGTATCATGTCTTCCTTTATTTGCCTTTTTTCTTACCCTAAAGAACTGCTAATGTTACAGCCTTCCTTCATGGGGAATAGCTTCAGCTCTTGATCATTCGGGGTGATTTTTAATGCAACATTCCTCCTATTTTCAGACGAACTTTCTAGAGCTATATATAATATTCATGGTGTAGTCTGCATGTATTCCTGGCAGTTTTATTTTAAGTTCCTTTCCTGATTATTTAAACTAAAAACAGATTTCTTCAGAACATATTGGATCAGTGCTTTCATTAAATAGCCTATCACAATCCCACAATCATTGCCTGTTCAAACCTCATTCATATCCATGCGAAGTTTGGATTTTTTTGCTTTTACTGAATTGTGCTTGGAGAGCTCCTCTTTGTTTAAGCCATCCGTCTATATGTTGGATAATTTCATATTTAATTTTTTTCATCAATTTATCTGGAATAGACATTAAATTAGCTTTAGATGACCCACTTTTCAGTTCTTTAGTAAGCTGATTTTAGGGAAATATTACATATCCCTGGTTTTCTGAAATGTTACATATTTCCTGCATGTTTTGACATTTGAGCTATTTGAAAAACCCCTGGATAGATACTATTTACCTCTGATGATTTTTACATTTTCAGTTTCTCGGTACAGCCTAAAACGTCAACTCTTTTAATCAGTATATGTTTCCAGTTTTCAGACCATACTTCAGATCATTCTACTTCCTGTTTATGATGCATCTTAAGAAAACGTTATCTTTGAACTTAACGTTGCTGCTCTTTTTATTTTTGGTAGCTTTTTGTCTCGTTTCTTTTCTACAAGTTTGTCTTATTTCTGAATGAAGCATTCTTTTTCAAACAGTTTCCTTTATATTTCTTGATAATCACTCTGATGATCTCTTGAAACCAGTGGTCACTTTCCTGACTTGCAGTATGTATTCTAGCTGGATTTATGGTTGTTGTTGTTTTTTTAGTAATCCCTCAGTGTTCTAGAAAATTTAGTCACCTTGATTTTTTTCAGGTTCCTTTTGACCAATCCCTCATTTTACTGGAAACAAGTAAGATAAGAACCATACAACATTAAAACACTATGCAGTCATTTGATGGCTGCTGGTACGTGGTTGTTACTTGTTGGCATGCATATTTAATCATTGCAAAGCATGCTTTTGGGGCTCTTATAAAAAGAATATATAAGTTAAACAATAATAGGGCTAGAATGCAGTCTTGTTTTGCACCATTTAGGATAGGATTAGGGTTTTGTTAGATCTCTTTTACAAACTTAACTGGCATGGTGGTATTTGAATACAGTGATATTATCAATTTAAGAAGGCAATGATCAATCAATGTGACTAATTTTCTGGAAAGTCTCTCATGTGGTATTGAGGCAAAGGCTGCCTTTAGGTCTGTGAAGGGGGTCTTTCGGAAGACTACAGTATTTCTCGGCTAGGATGATATAATATTGTGCATTCGTCTGTGTTAAATGACTTGGTCTAAACCCTGCCTGCCTTGCAAAGGATCCAATCAAAAAAATTTATAATATAAAAACCTGACGTATAAGTTACTGATTACAGATAAGAGGCTGAGAGGGTGATAGTTTATGAGATCAGACTTGTTCCTGTTTTGTATATGGCAAAAATGATGGAATTAAGACCTCTTTTGAAATCTGGAAAGACTTATTTATGGCAATGAAGAGAGGGGCTAGCACAGATATCTAGAAGGTGGGACTGGATTTTGGGAATTCCGGTATAACTGTCTTTGCTGAGGGATTTGCTATTTTTCAGTTGAGAAATTTATTTTTGAACTTCTGTATGTGAGACTGGGAGCCATTCAGGAAGGGTCTGGTAGCAAAATTTAGGGATCTCCACCTAGAGAGAGATTGAATAAATGGCAGAAATGTCCATCCCAGGAATCAGCAGAGATTAAATGATTGTTGTTAGATCAGTTGTATTTTGCTGAAGATAAGGAAATGAGGTGCCAGAACAGGCAGTCATTTTGGTTTGTTACCACTTGCTAAAGTTTAGCCCAAGGACTTTATTGCATAATTTTGTTTCTTCTCCTTTAGAAACCTCTTGAAACTCTTTTTTAGCATACAAAAGATTTCTCAAGCTCACTATATATTTGAATATCTATAAGCAGATATTTCTTTTTATCATCTATCTATCTATCTATCTATCTATCTATACATACATACATACATACATACATACATACATACATACTTACATATAAAATCTCCTCTTACCCCTATGGGTGGTATATGTCTTCTTCAATCTTGGGTCCTCTACCAGAGGCCTGGGAATTTGAGGGTTCTGCTCAGTATCTTAGCTGTTCCTAGCACTGTTCTCTTCTGGACAGAGAGCTCTGATGTTGTTCCTGGGATCTATTGGAGCCAGTCTCCCAGCTTAGGGAGAGCCCCACAGTGCTCCTACCACCATTGGGACCACTTTGGCCTTTACTTTCCACATCCTCTGTAGTTCCTCCTTTAGGCCCTGGTACTTCTCCAGCTTCTCATACTCCTCTTTCCTGATGCTGTTGTCACTTGGCATTGCTACATCTATCACTACTGCTGTCTTCTGGTCCTTGTCTACTACCACAGTGTCTGGTTGACTGGCCAGTACCTGCCTGTCCATCTGGATCTCGAAATCCCACAGGATCTTAGCCCTGTTATTCTCCATGACCTTCTGTGGAATCTCCCATCTGGACTTGGGAGGATCTAGCCCATACGCTGTGCAGGTGTTCCTGTAGACAATGCCAGCTACTTGGTTGTGCTGTTCAGTATATGCTGTTCCTGCCTGCACCTTACACCCTGCCACTATGTGTTGGACTGTCTCTGAGGCCTCTCTGCACAATCTGCACCTTGGGTCCTATCTAGTGTGGAAGACCCG